GTTGTTGTAGGGTGTTGCATGGTTGCTCATGCTGTAGCCGGAAGGTGCTGCCGCGTGGCCGTGACCGTAGGCCGCATAGGCTTGGGGCGAGGGCATGGTGGGTCGAGGACCGAGGACCCCCGGAGCTGAGGGGAGCCAGGGGCGAGGCATCCAAGCTGGAGGAGATGCTTGGAGGTGTTGATGAGATGATGACGACTGCTGTTGAAGATGAAGGCGAGTAGGCTGGCTGGTCCAAGGGTTGTACATCCAGGGAGTGTCACGGCGGCCTCGGCCGCCCCGGCCGCGGCCACGACTGCTGGTGTTGCTTCCCCTATGTCCAACAGAGAAGGATGGGGAGCCGCGACGATCATTGGAGAAGTTGCGTCCATCACTGGGAGGTGGAGCGCGTTCGCCACCGGCGTTGGGAAGGACGCTGTTGCCACTGGCCCACAAGGCGGTAGCGGCAGAATTCTTGGCGTCGGTTTTCTTCTGGGCTTCTTCAAGAATGAGGGCAGAGCGAGTTTGAAGGAAGGACGGGAATGACACTTGGAACGGCAGGAACGAGCGTAGATGGGAATACTACTCGTTGAGTCCACGGAGCAAGGTGAGCACGAGAGTGTCGTCGGTGACCGGCTGACCAACATCATCGAGAGCATCGGAGAGAGACTTGAGCTTTGCACAATAGTCGGAGATCGTCATGTCCCCTTGAGCAGTATTGCAGAATTCAGCATCGAGAGCTAGGGCACGGCTCTTCTTGTTGTCGCGGAAGAGGTTGGCTATGGCATCCCAAATCTGCTTTGCCGTGGAGCCGGGCTTCATGATGGTGCCGAAGAGCTCGAGAGAGATCGAGCCATATATCCAAGAGAGGACAGTGAAGTCGTCGCGGCCCCAATCAGAATTGGAGGAGGTGTCCGATGGGTTGCTCTCGGAGAGAACGTGCGCCGAGAGGCCGTAGCGGCCGAGAGAAACGAGAAAGAGCTCGCGCCACTTGGCATAGTTTGAGTCCTGAAGATCGAGGGTGATGGGGACGAACGTCTTGACGGAGACAGCATATGTAGAGGCAGCAGGGGGACGGATTGCCTTTCCTCGTTCATCGGCTTGGCGCTGGAGTTCTTCCTCGCGAGCCTGAAGGAGGGACTCACGGTTCTTGAGTTCTTCTTCAAGTTTCTTGAGCTCATCAGCGGACGCCATGGCGAGGTGGGAGGGGTTGGGGTGTTGGAGCGATGCAGCGGCAGGGTATGGTGGAGGGAGAGGACGGCGGCTGCTGTTGCTAGGGCAAGGTAGATGCGGCGGCTGGGGTCTAGAGGAGGAGGATCGGAGTGCTCGATACCATGTAAGATTGATAAAACTGGGCGGCTTGATGCCTGCCTCGGTTCAGCCCCTTCTTATATAATATACAGGAGAGTTACAGAGTTTGGTATAAATACAATGAGACTGTAATAAGGAAACTATCTATTTGGTGGGAGTTTAACTTGCACGCCAAGGTTATCATGAGCCGTTAGACAATAGGTCTCTAACATTAAGGTTTGTTTTGGACTTTTTCTTGAAAGTAACTTATATAATAACATAACGTATTTCAAGACAAATTTGCTTATGTGAATTTCAGGCCGGTGCACATACAAATGGGGTACCACGTTAAATGACAAACTGCATCTGGACTGCTCGGCCTAAACGGTTGCAAGCGGTTTGACTGTTGCATTGAAGATGCCGTAAGGCATTCCAAAAAAACCTTTTTAAGAAAGACGCCCAAAAGTTATCTTAATCTAATAATTATAAAAAAAATGGCCAGTACAATGAAAAGGCGATTATACTAGTCTCCTTACTCCAATTGAATGCAGCCCCAGGAGATTGAAAATTGTACAAAGCCAACAATAAATAAAAGAAACACTTACAAACCTCCTCGTCATATCAGATTTTAAAAACTGCAATAGGCACTTGCTGCTTGAAATTACGCTGGAGTATCCGCCTCCCGAGGAGCTTCACGGACGAGAGTGCCCTTCGCGCTGTCCGTTTGCCGGCGATGTGCCGCAGGGGCCTCTCGGGGAATCTCCATGCCGTCTGATCTGCCTGAACGACGCACACCCGGTCGACCCGCCTCGGGGGTCCATGATGGGTGGACCGTGGGCGTGTCCGGGGCCACCGTCATGGGGCGGTTTCGGTCGCACCCACGACAACCCTTCCGTGTGTTGCCTCGCCCGCGGGTGGGGTGGGGGGGTGGGGGTGGCCAGGCCACCTGTCAGCGTCTTCGAACCTCGCCAGGCTGGTTCGGTCGCGACAGGATGGACGTGTGATACGTCTTCAATGTATGTATATATTTGTTTATGTGCATGCTATAGTTAAATAAATTTTGCATAATTTTGGCACAAACTTGTATCTTTTTATTTGGACTAACCTATTAACCCAATGCTAGAGGCCAGTTTCCGGCTTTTTACGTCAAAATTTTATGGAGCCAAAAAATAAAAAAAAATCATAAAATCTTTTAAGTCAAAAGACTCCCGTAGCCAAAAGGTGAAGGTGAGGGGCCCACTAGTTAGGCATGCAGCAGGGCCAAGCGCCCCCTGGGGGAGCGTGATGAGGGGGCATGGGGCCCATGTAAGTCGTTTTGGGCTCTACTTTTACTTCAAGAAAGGTCCTAAAATATTGTTTAAAAATTAGTCCGATGAGAGTTATGGATCTCCGGATCTGCCACAG